TAAGAGGTGATGATTGACTGGATATGGAGATGGTGGGATGGGAGGAACTGAGGATGGCTTCCAGGTTTCTGGTTTGGGCAACCGGAGGGATATTGGTTCTACAAGAAGAGAGGATTGCTGGGAGAAGAAGCATTTGGGGCTTGAGGAAAGTGACCCCTGAGTCTTGTACCTGGTGAGGTAGAGGTGTTAGGGAACTCTCAGGTGAGGACACACAGAGGGACATTGTACATTTGCATTTGGAGCCTAAAGGAAGGAATGGAGATTTAAACTTGGGTGCCATGAATACGTTGTGGTTGATAAAACTGTAATCCTCTAAGAGATACCATTCCAAGAAACAGAAGCCGAGTGTGGAGGCTCCGTCAGTGGAACAGGAATAGGAAAAGGATTTAGCAGTATTAGAAGGCATTCTCAGGAGCAAAAGTACAAGAAATCATGTTGTCATGGAAAGAGATAAGAAGTGGTTTTTCCAGAAAGAGGAAATGGTTGGCCTCATCACAGGCCATGAAGAGGTCAAAAAGATAAGCCTGAAGAGATTCACTAGGTCTGGCAACATGAGGTCATCACAGGAACTTTCTAGGGGGTGTTAAACAAATTGTTGGGGTGGAAGCCAAATTGTAGCCGTTCAGTGTGGTGAGGGAAAGGTAAGCACAGGCCATTCCCTCAAGGAGCATGCATGAGAGAGGAGAAAAGAGAGAGAGCAGCGGCTGGAGGGAGAGTGGGATCGAAGGTGGCAGTGGATTCCTGGTTGAGTCCCTTCTGCTGCGTGTCTTGAGGTGCAAGGACCACCCAGACGACTTCAGACCCCCAAATCTGCTTCACTTGCTTTTTGGGACTTGCTTTTAGTTAATTTTACAAATTGCAAATTTTGGAGGTCATGCAACTGAGCGATGTGTTATTAGTCACTTCGGGCTCTGTAATGTGACACCTCTGAAGTGCAGGTCATGATGGTAACAGTTACTCAGGTCATTTTAGGGATTTGAAGGCCATTTTTATCAAAACTGCCAACTCTTCCCTGGGGACTGCACAGGTGATCAATAAATGACCTTTGGAGGTCAGAAGGTGAAAACCCCATCCTCAGACCACGCTGATGCTTGCATTTTTTGAACCATCTTCTCTTGAAGAGGGAAGATAGATTCTACATGTGTGGCCCACGATGAGGTGACCTCTGATCACCTCTCTCCACACCTTAAATCACCCTGCTTCTTTATCCCATAAATGTCCCCATACCCTATCCTTGGGGATATGGATTTGAGACTGGAGTCTCCTGTCTTAGTTGCCTTGCAGATAAACTCTGTTGTACAACTCATCATTTCTGTGACTGCAAAATGGCCTGGCGTGGTCACCCTCTTTGAGCCCTTGACTCCTGTTCCATGACTGATGTGCCATTGGGTAGATGCCCGATGGCATCTTGATCTGATGCCAGTGGGCAGCTCCACAGTGGGAGTCCAGCAGAACTCTGACCCGCCCTGCAGCCTGCTCTTCCTTGACTGCACACCTCCCCAGTCGCTTCACTAAAATCCCAAGAGCCATTTGTCCTTCATATTGCTGTATTTATTTATTTAAATTTTTTTACACCTTTACTTTATTTATTTATTTTTATGTGGTGCTAAGGATTGAACTCAGGGCCTCGCACGTGATAAGTGAGCGCTCTACCACTGAGCCACAACCCCTCTCCAATTTTGATGTATTTATATCACTGTGGATACCTGGGTGTTTATTTGATTCTTTCAAAGGACATATGGTCATCTTTTTGCCTTATTTCCCAGTTTGAGGATACTTTTCCTAATAATAGTAAAGACATTCCACCATAGGACAGTCAAAAAGATACACAGATGGCCGTCCCAAAGGGCCATTGGGGGAAAAATGGCAATCAGTCAAAATTCCTCAAAATTAAAATTTTTGGCTCCTCTAAAGACACTGTTAAGACAGGGCTGGGGCTGGGGCTCAGTGGCATGTGCTTGCCTAGCATGTGTGAGGCACTGGGTTTGATCCTCAGCACCACATGAAAATAAAGCAAATAAAATAAAAGCATCATTGTTGTTCATCTACAACTACAAAAACATTTAAATAAAAAAAGATAAAAATAACAAAAAATATACTGTTAAAACAAGCCTAGCCTGGGAGAAAAATATTTGCAGGAGCTGGGGATGTGGCTCAAGCGGTATAAATATAAATAAATTAATAAGCAAAATAAAGTCCATCAAAAATTCTTTTTAAGGGCTGGGGATGTGGCTCAAGTGGTAGCGCGCTCGCCTGGCATGCATGTGGCCCGGGTTCGATCCTCAGCACCACATACAAACAAAGATGTTGTGTCCGCTGAAAACTAAAAAATAAATATTAAAAAATTAAAAAAAAAATTTGCAAATTCCCGATCAAACAAAGGATTGGTGAACAGGATATATGAGCAATGCTTACAGCTCAGCTTTGTAGAGCAGGGAATAGTTCTTTAGGAGTGAAAACATGTTGAGAGCCACAGCCGAGTTGGGATGGAGCCTAGCATTTGCCAGTACTTTTGAGTTCTTGAGGAGTTCTGGTTGAGTTCGTGGTTGAGCTCTCTCGGGGATTCCTGGAGAGTTCCTGTTGGTGGGTGAAGTTCCGGTGGAGGGAGTTCTGGTTGGTGTGTGGTGTTCCTGGGGGCTGCGTGGGTGGCGTTCAGGAGAGTTCCCGGGGATCGTGTGGGGAGTGTGCTGGTGGATTTCGGAAATAAAGTTTGTTCCTGCTTGAGTGGCTCCTTATTTGTGCGTGCCCAGCCAGACTTCGGCAAAAACAAAACAAAAGCAGTCAAAGAAAAGATACATCATACTTCATCAAAATCAACAATTTATCTGGGTGTGGTGGCCACGCCTGCAATCCCAGCAGCTCTGGAGGCTGAGATAGGAAGATCCCAAATTCAAGGCCATCCTGGGCAACTTATCAAGGCCCTGTTTCAAAACAAAGAATAGAAAGCACTGAGGATGTGGCTCAGTGGCAAAGTGCCCCTGAGTTAAATCCTCAGTACCCCCCTGAAAAAAAGATTAAAATTAAAAATCTAATCAAAAGTTTTTTTTGTGGGTGCTGGCGGTACAGTTCATTGGTTGAGTGCTTTGGGCTCCATTCTAGCATTGTGAAAAACAAACAATAACAACAAAATCTTTTGTGTTAAAGGACAATCATCAAGAAAGTTTGGGGAAAGCCAGTAGTTGTGTGGTGCATGCTTGTAATTCCAGCAGCTCAGAAGGCTGAGGCTAAAGAATCACAATTTCAAGGCCAGCCCCAGCAATTTAGTGAGGCACTGTCTCAAAATAAAAAATAAAAAGGGGGTAGAGAAAAGAAAAGAAAGTGAGAATATTACTCATAGAATGAGAGAAAATTTGTAAAATCATCTATAAGGGCTTAGTACCTAGAATGTATGAAGAACCCTTACAAATCAACAATACAAAGAAAATAAACTAATTAAAAAATGGAAAAAGGATTTGAATAGATTCTTCTCCAAAAAGAGGTACATGAAAATATGCTCATTTTCATTTGCCATCAGAGAAGTGCAAATAAAATCACAATGAGCTACCATTTCATGTCTACTAAGGTGGCTACACTAATAAAAACTATGGGATATGGAAAAATTGGAACCCTCACATATTACTGATGTGAATATAAAATGGTGCAGCCCATGGGCTGGGTTGTGGCTCAGTGGGTAGAGTGCTTGCCTCACACATGTGAGGCTCTGGGTTTGATTCTCAGCACTACATATAAATAAATAAAATAAAGATCCATTAACAAATAAAAATTTTTTCAAAAATGGTGGAGCAGATATGCAACACAGTTTGGCAGTTCCTCAAAATATTAAAAATATAGTTACCAAATGACCCAGTGATTCTATTTCTTGGTATCTACTCAAAAGTGAAAACATGTTCACACTAAATCTTGTACACCAGTGTTCATAGCAGCATTATTCAAAATAGCACAAAGTGGAAACAATCTAAGTATCCATTCACTGATGAATGAACACATAAAATATGGTCTATTCACACAATGGAATATTACTTAGCTATAAAAAACTGAAGCATCAATACACACTCCATCGAAGATGAACCTTGAAAATATCACACTAAGTGAAAGAAACCAGATACTAAAGAACAATACTGTATATGATTCCTCTATATAAAATATCTATGTTTTAATAGTCATTCCACTATTTTTAAAAAGGGGTGTGTGTGGCTGGGGGTGTAGCTTGCTGGTAGACCACTTGTGGATTGAAGCCCAATAACCCCCAAAATCACAAATTTGTACACTTTAAATGGATGAGTTTTATGGATATAAATTAAGTCTCAACACAGATGCTGCATTTACCAATTACAGGGAATAGTCAAATTCATGAAGATAAAGAGAGAGCATTTTTGCCGGAGACTGAGCAGATGCGGATATGGGGTTTGAGTGCTTAATGGGCACAGGGTTCCTTGTAGATTGAGGGGAAACGTTGAAAATCATAGCGAAGGTTACATTACAAAAACTGTAATATCGTGCATATACTAAAAGGTGCTCAGAGCCAGTCACGGTGGCACACACCTATTATCCCCGCAACTCGAGAGGCTGAGGCAGGAGGACCACAAGTTCAAGCCCAGCTTCAGTGCGACCAGAACAATCCGAAACAGTCTCGGGTTCCACAGTGACGACCCCCTGGCTCCGGGGTCAGAGCGACCTACACTGGAACCCCCCCGACTGGAGATGCGTGACCCTGGGCTCTTTCCGCCTTCCCAGATCTGCCAAAGGCCCTTAATAACCCGCTTCTCCTCTCGGAGCCCCTGGGAGGGGGAGAGGACCGGCGGTCGGTCGCGCCCTCAGCCTCTTGGCCCAGCGTTATCCGTTATCACAGGGTGGGGACAAGAACCAGCCTTCACGGAGGAGGTCGGGGCAGTGCCAGGGGCTGGGGGCTGAGCCGGGTGCGACGCGCATGGCGCGTCGGGCGTTGCCTAGCAGCGCGGACGTGCAGGCGTCGGGCGTTGCCTAGCAGCGCGGGAAGCTGGCGGCTCCCACCCGCAGGCATGGAGCAGCCCCCGGCCAGCGGCAGCGACAGCGACAGCGACAGCGGCAGTCGCAGCGCCCCGGAGACCCTGAGCGAGGTGGTGCGGGTGCACCTGCGGAAGCTGTGTCTGCACGAGTTTCCCTGCGGCATAGGCAGCTGGGTGCGAAGGGGGGCTGGGAGGGCCTGGGGGACGGCCCGGGGGACGGCCCTGGAGACTGGCAGCGCCCACACACAGCAGGTGGCTGACCGAGACGCCCCAGGAGAGGTAGTTCTTAGTGTTTGGGCGAGGAGGGTGGACTAAGGGGACCCTGAAGCTCAAGGTGTGGGCAGAGGAAGCTCCGCCTGGGCCTGGGGGCACTGACTTCAGGGTGCAGACCTGGCACCTTCCCATCCGGAGCACAGCAGGCCAGTCTGCACCATGCAGGTGCTTCTGACTGGGTGAAGTTTCTTGGCTTCATGGAGCCCCAGAGCCACGTGCGGGAGATGGTTCCACCTGGGCCCTGAGGCTGCAGAGGCATGGGCCTCCCCTTCTGAGGCTTGGCTGGGAAGGCTCTGCCACTTTCTGTTTGTCTAGAAGCTTCCCTCCTGGAGGAGAACCTGAGGGCTCAAAAGGCTAAGCAGTGCACCCTCTGGCCCACCCTTCCCTGCCGGGGAGAGACAGAGAGCAATGCAGTGTTGAGGAGCCTCAAAACAGGGTGAAAGAGGAAAATTTGCTGCCCATGAAGGTCCTTTTCTCTCAAGCTTCAATCTGTACATTGACCCTGCAGACAGAATCTGTTCAGTGGGGCCACAGGAACTGTTGTCCTCACCTAGGTGGGGTGTCATCACAGGGTGGGGACAAGAGCCAGTGTGCTCAGGAATGTCTTGAGAGTTCTGAATGGGCCAGAGGCTGGGGCCACCCCATCACTCCATGGAAAGGAGCCTAGGAAAGCTGGTGTTCCCTTTTCATAGGAAAACTGAGAGCATTCATTGATTTGCTTAGTCAGATGTTGGTTGAGCACCTACTATTTGTTAAGCTTTAGGGTTTCAAAGATGCATCTTGGACTGGGGCTGTAGCTTGGTGGTAGAGTGCTTGCCTAGCATGTAAGACTCTGGGTTTTATGCTCAGACTGCACCTCTTCTGGAGGTAGGGGTGGGAGAGAGTAAATTCTGGGAAAAGCACTCTTTCATCTTCCACTTCCTGAATTTACCTTTTCCTGGGCTTACCTTTTCAGCCTTGCTACTTCCTCTTGAAAAATTTTTCCTTGATTATATCCTTATATCCTCCGCCATTGCCTGTTGAGCCTCATGAATTGCATAGATTGTGTCAGATATGTAATTAATCTCCCAGAGACAGGAATTGGACCTTTATCTGTACTCATATCATGGCTAATCATCAGCCAAAATTACTGGTGGCTCATCGAGATTTCTAAATTCTTTATCCTCAGTCATCTAGTCTTACAACTGAGTTTCTTTACAAGGACATGTGAGACCTAATGAAATTCTCCACCTCCAACACTGCAGAACAGGTCGCGTTTTCTTCCTCAAACATGGCGAACCTGGAGGGAGCTGACTCCCAGGGAGGAGGAGACGGTGAGCCCAGGGGAGGAGACTGTGGAGGCCCTGCTGGGACTGGTGCGTAGTCCCCACTCACCCTGGGCTCTGGTGGAGGACTCCAGTGCTGAGGACCATTTTCTGAGAGAACTGGCCATCCAGAATCCACTGATGCTCAAAGACACCTTCTTGTACTCCTATTTCCGGTCGCTGAGGATGGTGGACAAGCAGGTGGGTGCTGCAAATGAGCACCAGATTGTAGGGGGATCTCCTGTGAGAGCTGATCCCAAGGTCAGCCCTGACTTCTCATTGAGCTCACCAGCTTGTACAACAAACAGGCCGGTATTCAGCCATGCTTTGTTGAAAGTCTTCCTCCTTCACCCTTGGAGGGAGTCCATGTGCCTCTTCTACAGCCAATTCTTAGCATGCCCTGCACTCGGCCCTCCTGGGTCCTAGTAAAGACCTTTCAAAGGACCCATATTGCTTTGGTTTGGTTTGGTTTGGTTCTAGGAATTGAACCCAGAGGGCTGAGCCACATCCCCAGCCCTTTTTACTTTTTACCTTTAGACAGGGTCTTGCTAACTTGCTTAGGGCCTTGCTAAATTGCTGAGGCTGGCTTTGAACTCCTGATCCTCCTGCCTCAGCCTCCCAAGTTGCTGGGATTACAGGTGTTGTATGCCACTGTGCCTGGGCCATATATATATATTTTTTACTTTATTTAAACTGTGGGGGGCTGGGATGTAGCTCAGTGGCAAAGTGTCTGCCTTGTATTTGCAAAGCCCTGGGTTCAACCTCCAGTTCCAAAAAAGCCAAAAAAAAAAAAAAAAAAAAAAAACCCACCATAAATAAATAAATAAAACCCTTTAAACTGTGGGAATCGGGTTGGGGGTGGGGCTGGAGAACATTGGCATAGTGTTGACTTATTTTATTTCTGTTACTAAAAAAATCTTTGCTTAGAGGGGTTGGGGATGTGGTTCAAGGGGTAGCACGCTCGCCTGGCATGCGTGCGGCCCGGGTTTGATCCTCAGCACCACATACAAACAAGGATGTGTGTCCACCAAAAACTAAAAAATAAATGTTTAAATTCTCTCTCTCTCTCTCTTTAAAAAAAAATCTTTGCTTAGAACAATAACAGTTCAAAAGTTGTATAGAAACTGAGTCTCAGCCTTCCTAAGCCTTTGCTTCCTTTTATGGAGAAACTGGGAAGTTACACGTAACCAGAAAATGAATAGGGTGACCAGTTTGCTTGTGACTTTCCTTGTGTTAGTGCTGCAAGTTTTATGTCCTGGAAAGTCCCTCCATCCTAGGCAAATGGGCATTGGTTGCTCTAGGGAAAAGAAGCCCCGCCAGGAAGGACCCCTGATATCCTTGAGATCACTCAGTTCCTTGGGAACTGAAGATTTATGGGTAGGATGCTGAAGTTTCTCCTCTGACCTTGCTCCGTACAAGCCAGGGTGATTTCTAAATACTTTAACCAGCTTTGGTGCCAGACAGGCAGTAGGTTACCATGGCTCTGCCCTTCCAAGAATCTCAAGGTCCAGCAAGGGACATAGGACATTGGCCTGGAAATCCCATAGCTACTGTCAGTGAAGGGGCAGGGGAGGAAGTGGCCCTGGAGCCCTGCGAGTGGATACAGTGAGATGGAAAAGGGATGGAGGGGTTGGCAAGACTGGAAGGACTGTGTGTTCCTGTTGGCTTGTGCTGCGATGTCACCTGGCCTTCTGGAGGCCTCACTTCCTTCCCTTCCTTTCAGGTGAGCCTGGTGGATAAGGACCTCCTAAAATTTGTAAACCTTGAGGAGCTGATCCTAAGTGCCAATAAAATCAAGCAAGTCAATGCTGCCAATCTGCCCCCAACACTCAAGGTACAGGAGCCCCAGAGACCCTGTCTCTGATCTTCCCTGCACAGGTTTGGCCAGGGAGGCTCTGCATTAAGGCCCAACCTCAGGCCTTTAACTGTAGGCCATGTTCCTCAAAAAGGGGATCCACAACACCTAAAAGGACAGAGGGCAGGATCCCTAACAGTTTCCTGTTCATCAGCGTTTAGTAGCCAGAAGTGGAAAGAATCCATGTGTCTACAACCACACACCCGAGGACAAAAGGTGACCTGTCCACGTAGTGGGATATAATTCATCCATTCAAAGAAAGAAATTCTGATGTCACTGCAGTGTGAGGGACCCTAGAAAACGGCATGCTGGGTGAAAGGAGTCAGACCCACAGGGGCCAATCTCATTTGATTATACTTCTGTGAAATATCTAGAAGAGGCAAATTCACAGAGATAGACAGGGATTAGAGGTCACCGTGGGCTGGGAGAGGGAACAGGGAGTGAGTGACTGCTTAGAGGTCTGTTTGGGGTGATGACGCTTTGGGGAACAGTGGTGGTGGTGGCACAGCATTATGGATGTCACTGAACGGTACACTTACAAATGGAGGAAACGGCAAATTTATGTTAGGTATGTTTTCCACAAAGAAAAGAGGCAGGCGGGCTTCATCGTGCTCTGCTGAGCATGTCGCATGTCCCCAGCCCTAAGCTGAACACCGAGAGTAGTGACCACGGAGGAAGAGAGCAGGTCTGGCTCTGGCTGGAGACACCAGGCTCGGCCCTGGGTGACACGTGTGAGTGAGGAGGACAGTTTGCACATATCCACTTAGTGGGATCCATTCCCTCTTCCATCGGGGCTTTCCCAGGGACACTTTCCCACTGCGTGTCTGCAAGAACTTCCTGCACACCTCTATCACCTCCCCTTCCAAGCTTCGAAGTCACCTTCACAGAAGGGAAAGGAATCTTCCCTCTCTGCTGCAGGAAAAAGTTCCTCCTGCATTTTAAAAAATGCAGTCCTGTTGGGCACAGGAAGGCAGGCCCCAAGCAGTCCACGATTCCTTTCCTGAGTTTCCCGGGGCAGCGGGCAGAGGGCAGGCAGTCAGGCAGAGCCCTCCAGTCTGGGCCTCCTCTGCTGTCAATAGGTGCTGGAGCTGTATGGCAACGAGATCCGCAGCATGGAGTGTCTGTGTGCTCACCCACCCCCTGGGCTCCAGCATCTGGGGCTGGGCCACAACAAACTGCTGGGCCCCTTGGAGAGTCTCTATGTCACCAACAACTACTGGTAACTGGGGAGCTGGGAGGGCAGGTGCGGGAGGGAGGCTTGCTTCTATAACTTCTGGGTGGCTGCAAAGTCGGCTCAGGATTTCAGAATGACTCAATAAAAAATCCCACTGACATCCAGGGAAGGGTAGAGGGAGCCTTGCTTCAGAAGAGGATCTCTCAACGTGGGCTCCATTGACACTTGGGCCTGTCACTCTGTTGTGGGACTGTTCTGGGCATTGTAGCATGGGTAGCAGCATCCCTGGCCTGAACCCACTCAATTCCCTCCTGGGACAGTCAGACAGAACCTAGGAGGAGGGGCGGACTCAGCCCAGGCTGAGAACACTGTCCTAGAGACAGCCCTCGCTTGTCACTACAACTCCAGCATCCATCAGAGTTTGTGCAGAACAGTCCCCTCTTGGTTGTTGACATTGGATTTTGTCTCCTTGGTGGGGGCGGGGGGTGGGTGACAGTGGAAAACTTAAAATCCCAGACCTGAGAAGTGAGAGGGTCACCCACCATCCCTAAAAGACTGCCATGGAGAGCTGGGGCAAAGGGAGCACCCTGCAAGGAGAACCGGGGTCCAGCACCTTAGCTAGTGGTGCTGTGGGTGCAGCTCCCCTGCTTCCTCTGTCACAGCCTGGAAAGGGCTGGAGGTCAGCACAGAAGGCACCTCCTTCCTTGGACAGGCCTTGTGCTCCAGCCACACCTGCTTGGAAGGCAGGGTGCAGTGGAGAGGAAAGTCCCTCTCTCATGATTTCCTCCTTCCTCCCCTTGCTCTGCGGCCCCTGACCAGGCTCGGCCCTGTCCAACTGGGATTCCTTTCTTCCATTGCCCATGGCCATCAGGGAGTATAGACAGAAAACCATATACTTTGGACTTCTTAGGACAGCAAATTTAGGCTCTTGCTGTTGACAGAGTACCAGGTGTCCTGATTTTGATTTGGAAAACATGCCCAACCTGGTGCTTCGTGCCGAATGGGGATCACGTAGAAACCTGTACGTGAGCCTCTGTCTTGGGCTGTTTGGGAATCAAAAGGACATCTGTGCTGATATTGCCTGGTTCTCTTGAAGGTCGGGTCAAGGCTGTGTGCTGATCCCCACGAACTGTTCCTCTTGCATACTTCCCTCTGACTGGCCTGTGACTATCACGGGCAGGACAGGCCATCAAAAGAGGCGAGGGAGGAGAGGGAGGGGGCTGAGTTCACTGTGTGGAAGGTGCTGCTGATGGGTGTTCCCTGCTCTTTTCCTGGCCTCTGTCCTCAGAGCTGAAGTCACTTTGCTTTCTAGTTTGTGACAGTGGGAAAAGCTGCCCCACTCTCTCCTGTGCCTGGCTCATCACCCAGGGCCCTGGGATTCTCCTTTGCCCGCCCTTCCTGCCCTTCACAGGCTGGGATGGGAAACGTCTCCTTTCCGCTTGCTGGCACGGTCTTCACTCTTGTCCCCCAAGAGGCGAACCCAGTGGCCATGTGCCAGTCTGGCTTTGAAGAGTGACCTCCAGCTTGAGACCCCTGGACCCTACAGCTTCACCCACCCTCCTCCCAGGTCCCCATTCCAATCCCACTCCTCCCCTTCCTGCTCTTCTCCACAGTGACTTCCTGTTTGTCAATAGGGAGAACCTTCTAGATGCACATGAAGTTGGAATTTTGGCTAGAGAGCTCTGTGTGACTGGGACATAGGGGTAGGTTGTGAGGGCTGTCTCTGGGCTCTGAGGATGGCAGTGTTCCAGAGAGGGGAGAAGCAGGCTTGGGCATAACCCTGTGTCCAGGACAGAACAAAGTGTGTGGGCCGAGCTGTGTCCTGGGTGTAGGGCATGTCCCCTGCTTACCAGGGTCCCTAACTCCTGAGTGGCCTGCCCCACCTTCCAGGCCCAACCTTGTCTCCCTGGATCTGGGCTTCAATGACCTGACAGACCTGCAGGGCATGATGGTCAGCCTCAGCACGCTCAGGCACCTGTGGCTGCTGGTGCTGCAGGGGAACCCGCTGGCCCTGGTGCCCTACTACCGAGGCTTCACCATCGACAGCCTGACCCGGCTGTGCGTGCTGGATGACATCACTGTGTCTCCCAACGAGAAGCATCAGTTCCAGGGATTCAGCCTCAGTGGTGGTGGGTACAGCCATGGAGGGAGGGGGCAGGGACCCGGCTCCACACCTTGAACCTTTGTCTGTGGCTCCCCATTTGACCCGGGCCCTCATCAGATGTAATAAACCTTCTGGATCTGGGTTTTCTCAGATATTGACCCCTGTGACTGGGCCCTGGGGACAGAAGTGGTAGGAGGGCTTCCACAGCTTTTAGCCAGTTTCTTCACTTTTGAGGTGGCTTGAGTTCACCCCCTTGTGGCCCATCATGCAAGGTGCATCAGAGCCTTCCCAAGGTCAGACAGAAGCCTGACAGCTTCAGCATTCCAGGCACAAGATGAGATGGCAAATATTCCTAACCTCTCACCCTCTCAGAACTGGCTCTGTAAAGCTTCTATTAGAACCTCCATTTTAAAACTGGGAGCAGTGGCACAGGCACCGATGCTGAGGCAGGAGGATTGTTTGTTCAAGGCTAGCCTCAGTAACTCAGCAAAACCCTGTCTCAAAAATAAAAGATAAAAAGGACTGGGATATAGCTCAGTGGTAGAGCGTCCCTGGGTTCAATCCCTGAATCCCTAGTACCAAACAAACCCCAAATAACTCCCATTTGACAGATCAGGAAACCAAGGCTTCAGAGAAGCCAAATGCCATATCCTAAATCACTCCCATTGAACTTGGTGGAGCTGGGACTTGAACGTCTGCATGGAGGGAGGATCCAGGGACGAGTGCCTTCCCCATCCTGTCTTGCTGTCTGCCAACTCCCAGCCCTCCGTGTTCCTCAGTCTTGTCACTCCTTCTTGCAGACTTCCTGGCACAAGAAGCACAGTTTGTGGTGTCCATTGGAAACGTCAAGGGCGTTGTGGACACCTCTATCTGGGACCCAGAGCCAGGCCCCGAAGGCCCTTTCATCACCTACAACTATTACGTGACCTACGACTTTGTGGAAGAGGAGCAAGGCGAGGGGAGCCAGTATGGTGGCGTGCTGGCCAAGGTGCCCGGCTGTCAGGGAGTAGGGTGGCTCCTCGCCCAGGCCCACGGGGTTTCCTGTGCAGGCAGAACAGCCCCTGGAGGCCTGGGAAAATCCTTAACATGGATTCACAGCCCCTTTCTGCTTAGGGCCCTGGCTCCAGCCCAGCCCCAGCCAGGATGATTGTCAGCAGTGAGCACCTTGTGGCCCTGTGACATCTGAGCCTGACACGGGAGCAGCCTGGAATTTTATACCCAAGCCCAGAGCTTCTGGCCCCACTCTACAGTTTCCACGATGTCTTTCACCCCTCCACATCCTATGAAAAGCAGGGGCTCCGTGGGGCTAGGAGAAATGTGCTGCCTCCAACTTCTCATGAGGAGGTTGTGCTTAATCTTAGGTCTCCCAAATGTGCTGCTCACGCCTTGGGTTCCTGCAAGGCTGGGGTGTGGCTCAGTGGTGGCCTGCTTACCTAGCATTCGAGAAGTGCAGTGTTCCATTCCAGCACTAAAAAAGAAAATCCTACTGCCCTGATCTCTGTGTCCGTAGACACTCAAGGAACTTCAGAGGATGTGTCCTGTCTTCCCTGGCAGATTGTCAGGCCCTCCAGCGCAGAACTTGTAGGCGATGAGCTGCAGGGGGTGTCAGAGGTGCAGCTGTTGGAGGAGGCCAATGAGTCCCAGGAGTCGGGGGCGACGGAGATGGGAGAGTCAGAGTTGTCCTTCATCTCAGGCCGCTCAGCCCTGCCAGTGCCCCTCTCCTCCATCAACTCTGCAGAGGAGCTGGCAAAGCTGCGGCCACGGATGGATCCCCGGCTCTTCCCATCCCCTGGGTAAGGATAGGACCCAGCTAGGAGCAAGGACTGGGGTCTCCATCCAGGGTGACAGCAGACTTAGGCTGCACCCACTGCCTCCCCTGAGCATCCTGATGGCTGAGTGCTCCAGCCGAGGCCACAGTCTCTTTAGCTGGCCCCTGGGCCAAGAGCCATAGGGGGTAGGTGTTGGATTGGCAGTCAGCACTCCTTTCCCAGAACCCTAACCTTCCACTCAAGTGCATCTGAACCTCAGGTCCCTGAAGGGCTAAGCTTTCTAGAATGATTGACTTTCTCATTGCATTTTAGCCCTGGGATTGGAAGCTTCTCATACAAGCTTTTGAGTCCATCTGGAATGTACTCTGGCATACGAAGTGTGGCAAGGACCTTCCAGTCTGTGCGCCAGGTTCTTCCTTGCCCTCAATAACTCCAGTCTCATCCCCTCCTCAGGTTTCGCATATGCCACCGGTTCTGCCTTCTTTGTTCCGGAAGCTTCTTTGATGATGGAGAATTTTACTGGAATCCAAGTCAGTTCCCACAGTGTAGGAGCTCCATGAATGGAGTTTGTAGAGTCTCAGAATGTTGAGCACATATAGATTTACTTAGGAATTCCTGTCACAGCTCCCTAATGCTTGTCAGTTGTTTTAACTATGGCTCTCTTCTGTTGGTGTTGGGGTCCCCAAGACTAGGCCCAGGTTTGGATCCATTAGGACTCTCAGGGCTTGGCATCCAGCCTTTCTCATGGCTGAGATTTATTGCAAATTTATTAAAAGCCCAGAGGAACTCAGACATGGCTGCCAAGAGTCCTGTCCCAGAGGACATGCTGTGTTTGGGGGAGTTCCTCTTTGATTCTCTTACCCATTTTTAAAAATCGCATTGCCTGTCTTTTTCTTACTGATTCATAAGATTTCCTTTTGCATACAAACGTCTTCTGGATATACACTCTTCTTGGTGACAAGCGCAGCAAGTCATTTTCCCCTTTGTCTGGTTTGCCTTTTCACTCCCTACATAGTGTCATTTGATGAACAGAAGTTTTCAATATTAGTGCTTTTGTTTAAGGAATCTTTCTATACTCTGCACTGATTTTTTGTTGTTGCGAATTTCCCATTTCTCCACTGTCTTCTCTGTGCCATGTTCCTTCCTGGTCTCCTGCTCCCCTGGTCCTCTCCGGTAATAGCCAGACTCCCAGTCTCGTGCTATTTTGGGGTACGTAGTCTTTTTTGGAAGTCCCCTTAGAGCCTTGTTCCAGGTTCCCAGCCACAGCCCTGGGTGATGGCGCCCATGTCTGCATCTCCCCCTAATCAAGGACCGTCCTCTTCAGCACCAACCACAAGCCCTGGGCTGATGTCATTTCCTACAACTATGAGATGCAGCACACCTTCAAGGACCTGGTGCCACTCAAGGCCTTCCTACTGTCGGGGACCACTGTGACTATTGTGGAGGAGAAGGTGGGCAGAGGCCTGACTCCCTGGTTAGATGCTTCTCAGCCCCTTTCTAGAAAGAGCGAGGGAGAGGTGACTCTGCTTACTTGAGGCCATGTTATGTTCCCCAGATCGTCTCCTGGGCTGTGGTGCCACTTCCTGTTGAAATTCCCTTGCCTGCCAAGAAAGGAAAAGGGGAGAAAGACAAGAAGGAAACTGTTGGGAAAAATAAGAAAGGGAAAGCGGAGAAGGAACCCCGCAAGGTACTGGCACACCCAGCCCACAGCAGGGGACCGCGCGTGGAGGGGACACATGCCTGGCATGGTCCTTTGCCTGGCCCTGTCCCACCCTCCTGGCCTCCCACCACAGGAACAGAAGGCACCCAAGAAAAAGAAAGAAATTCCCAAGGAGCTCCGCCAGGAACCATCTGTGCTGCGGGTGCTGGGTAGCGACTTGGTGGCCCTGGAGCCATTGCTGGCAGGGGAGTCCCAGGTGTCCACTGTGTGCAATTATGGGGTCATCCGCACCCTGGAGTCTGACAAGATGATATTAACTAGGGTAAGTGGGCCGCAACCATGTCCTCTCCTTCCCCCTCTCCAAGAATGCTTGCCCTGCCAGGAGCCTGGGGAGGATGGAAGAGGGACCTTCCCCTGGGAGTGCGGCTGATGCTCCTCCGGTGTGGGCCAGCTCAGGCACCTCCTCACGTGGAGCCCCCCACCCTCCTGGACCAGTCAGAGGCCCTGGGATGGGTGGGAGCCCCCAGGCCTCCTTGGGGTCTATATCTGCCCCTTCCCCAGCAGCCCCTGACCCCAGTCAGCATCTTATTTGGTCATTCTTTCTTTCAGGATTTAAAGAAGACCAAGAAAGGGGCCAAAAAGGGTAAGAGCCAACGCGTGTGGTGGCAGATGGCAAGGGCTGGTTGCTGAGGCCCTGCTGAAGGGCCAGCCTTGACTGGAAGCCACAGGGTGGGTGACTGAGAACTGTATCTTCCAGCCAGTGGGGAGGCCACATCCACCCTGAGGACTGGACCCCCATCCTCCCTGCATGTCCCAGAGGCAGCAGCCTGCTGTGCGGGGTGATGGGTAGGGAAGGGCATTGTGGTGCCCTGGAGGAAGGACCGAGCTGAGGTGGCTCAGGGTTCTTCTGGCTGCAGCTCTAATTGGTCAGATAAGAAGCCTGGATTTATTCTGAGTGGCCAGTGAAGTTTCTGAACTAGGTAAGCTTCAGATTTGTGTTTTTAAAAGATCAGTAAGGGAAAGCAAGATTTGAAAGGATCAAACCTCACTGTATCTCAGGACAAATCTCATTAAGAATACAAAAAAATATCCCTCAGGTAAAATTTACGATGTCTGTCATCCAATAAAAAATTACTAGGCATGAGTCGGGTGTAGAGGCGCATACCTGTAATCCCAGCAGCTCTGGAGGCTAAGGCTGGAGGATCACAAGTTCAAAGCCAGCCTCAGCAAAAGCAAGGCACTAAGCAACTCAGTGAGACCCTGTCTCTAAATAAAATATAAAATAGGGCTGGGGATGTGGCTCAGTGGTTGAATGCCCCCGAGTTCAATCCCTGGTACCCCCCACTCCCCAACCCCGGCAAATTACACAGCATGGAAAAAAAAACAAGAAATACAATATATAATGAGAACCAAAATTGACTCAGAAATGACATGTAAGATAGAATCAGTAGACAAGAATATTAAAGCAGTTATTATAATTTATTCCATACACTCAAGAAGCTAGAGGAGCTGGGTGCAGTAACACATCTGCAGTTCCAGTGACTTGGGAGACTGAGGCAGGAGGATCACAAGTGTGAGGCCAGTCTCAGCAACTTAGAAAGGTCCTGTTTCAAAATAAAAAATAAAATTTTATCTCTCTCTCTCTCTCTCTCTCTCTCTCTCTCTCCATATATATAACTATAATATACCAATTAAACAAAGAAAATAAATAAATAGAAAGAAAACCAATAGACTGGAGGAAGGAGATCAGGGCTTAGAGAAGAGGTTGTGAGGAAAATAGGGAGTATTGGGGATTTAAATTCAGAAAAGTATGTTATGTGCATTTATGACTATGTCAAACCCCACTATAATGTATATCTACAATATACTAAGATATTAAGAAAGATATAAAAATAAAAAAAGAACTGGGAATGTAGCTCAGTGGTAAAGCGTCCTTAGATTCAATCTCCAGTACCCCCCCCCCAAAAAAAAAATCTTGAGGAAAAATTGAATCTGTTAAGTAGCAATAATGAATATAAACTTTTAGAGATGAAAATTATAGTGTCATATGAAAAATACATTCAATGGATTATTGGCATATTAGACAATATAAAAGGAAATATTAGTGAACTTGAGCAGTAGAAACTGTCCAAAATAAAACTCAAGGAGAAAAATCAGTAGGAAAAAATGAAAGAGTATCAATAAATTTTGAGACAAATTTCCAAGGGCCTAATATCCATGTGATTGGAGTTTCTCAAAAGACAGGAAAGGGGCTGGGTTTGGGGCTCAGTGGCAGAGCGCTTGCCTAGCATACATGAGACACTGGGTTCAATCCCCAGCACCACATAAAAATAAGCAAATAAAATAAAGGTATTGTGCCCATTTACAACTTAAAAAATATTTTTTAAAAAATGGGAAAAAATGCCTGAAGAAATCATTGCTGATACCTTTAAAGAACTTGTTTTTTGTTTTGGTACTGAGGATTGAACTCGGGGGCACTCGACCACTGAGCCACATCTTCAACCCTTTTTTTATTTTTATTTTTTTTAAAGAGAAAGAGATAGAGAATTTCAATATTTATTTTTCAGTTTTAGGTGGACACAACATCTTTGTATGTGGTGCTGAGGATCGAACCCGGGCCGCACCCATGCCAGGCGAGCGCGCTACCGCTTGAGCTACATCCCCAGCCCATCAACCCTTTTTAAAAATTTTATTTAGAGACATGATCTCACTGAGCTGCTAAGTGCCTTGACAAACTGCTGAGGTTGCCTTGAACTCAAGATCCTCCTGTCTCAGCCTCCTGAACTGCTTGGATTATAGGTGTGCACCACTGTGACCAGCACATTTCAAAATTTGAGCTGGGCATGGTGGTATGTGCCTGTAGTTCCAGCACTGGGGAGGCTGAGGTGAGAGGATCCTTTGAGTCCAGGATTTCAACACCAGCCTGGACAATACTGCAAAATCCTATAAAATGGGGGGTGGGGTGGGGGGAAGATGAAAACTGAAACTGTAAAATCCTGATCCAAGAAATCCCAAATTTTTTAGAAACTAAGCAACATACTTCTAAATAACCTGTGGGTCAAAGAAGAAATAGCATTGAAAAATATGATATAGGAATAAATGTGACAAAAGATGTGGAAGTCCTGTTCACTGAAAACTAGAAAACATTGTGAACAGAAATTAAAGATCTATATCAATGGAGAGGTATACTATGAGCAGGGATTAGGAGATTCAAATATTGTTAAGATGTAGGTTCTTCTCAAATGATCTATAGATTCCACATAATGGAATGATCCTGCCAAGTCTATGGTTTATAGAAATCAGCAAGCAGATTTTTTTTTTAAACTTAAGTATTGCCCCTCACCACCAATATTAGAGATTGAATCAAGGGGCACTTTACCACTGAGCTACATCCCCAGCCCTTGTTGTATTTTGCTTTTGAGAAAGGATCTCAATGAACTTGTGGAGACTGACCTTAAACCTGTGATCCTCCTGCCTCAGCCTCCTGAGTTGCTGGAATTACAGATGTGTGCCAATACACCCAGCTCAGCAAGCAGATTCTAAAATTCATAGGAAAAGGACCCAAAACAGTTCTGAGAAAGAATGAATTGGGAGGTTCATACTATTGGGCTTTCAAGACCATGCATATATGGGCACATGATTTGTGGCACTTATCTGTGGAGATAAGATAGTTTAACTTTTTTCTGCAGTACTGGGGAGTGAACCTGGGGTGCTGTACCTCTGAGCTACATCCCTAGCCCTTTTTATTTTATTTTTACTTTTGAGAGAGGATCCTGCAAAGTATTGTCCTGGAATTTCTAATCCTCCTGCCTTAGTTTCCTGAGTAGCTGGGATTATGGGCAGGCTGCCTGGTGATAGTTAAATTTTTTTTTCCAAGTTTGTTTTTAAAGATCTTTTAAATGTCTGGATTAACAGGACAGTGGATTCTCATATCTGCGTCTACAGCAAAACTCTTGATATATTGCTGTTGAAGTGTATGAGGAAAATCCAACCTCATACCAACACATAATTAGAAAAGAGGGGAATATTTTAATAGGCTTTCAAAGAATTATGGATATTCTTCCTTGATGTTACAATGAATTTGACAAGCTAGCTTATTACATTTGTTACAAAGTGAAAACTGAATATATATTGATTTTTTTCAATCCAATTAGTCATTAAAGTACATTGATACACACACACACACACACACACACACACCAGGAATTGAACTCAGGGGCACTCAACCACTGAGCTACATCCCCAGCCCTATTTTATATTTTATTTAGAGACAGGGTCTCACTGGGTTGCTTAGTGCCTCGCTTTTGCTGAGGCTGGCTTTGAACCTGATCCTCCTGTCTCAGCCTCCGGAGCATGCGCCTCCATAACCGTTTTATTTTGCATTTTGAATGGATATTTTAACCATGCACTACTGGTAACACGGTTACTTGTAAAATAACAAACATTGATTTACACATTCCATTAAAAATCCAAAAGTCACATTCGTTTTTTAAAAAAGCATTTTCAGTTGTAGATGGACACAATACCTTTATTTTATTTATTTTTATGTGGGGCTGAGGATTGAAACCAGTGCCTCACACGTTGGGCAAGCGCTCTACAGCCAAGCCACAACCCCAGCCCCAAAAGTCACGTTCTTAAATATCACCACCCACATCATTAGAAAAGACTTGGAGTATTGGGAACCTTGAGTTCATGGTGGCAGTGTTCCAAAATTCTAATTTCTACCTGAAAGTTCAAATGTTATAAATTTATCAAAATGCTTTCAGTCCCGTGTTTTCCCCAAAGTGCCATATTTACTTCATTTTAAAGAAAATAATTGTCAAATACCCAAGACTGTACATGCATAGTTCGTCAGAGTTCAACTTAAAATGGTCTAAGAAAGAAACAGCTAATTTTCTTGTAACTCAAACAGCTGTGACTCATTAAATGCTCCAATTAAACGCAATTCTATTCCCTACTCTATTAACAGAGCTGGATCCAATTCAGAGTTGTGCCTCCCTGGACTTGGGTTTTGGGGATGTGTTCCGTGCTTGGAGACCGCAGTCCCCACATCGCTCCGGACTCATTGCTTATGTTTTAATTTTCTCAGAAAAGTCAAAACCGCAGATGCCGAGCTTCGACAGCGACTACCAGCCGGAGCCGCTGACGGTGGAGGTCCAGATCCAGCTGAATCAGTACCGCACCGCGGAGGAGGCGCTCCGCTTCTAGGCGCCCGAGTAAAGGCTGTTCTGCGCACTCGCGCCTCCGCTTCCGTCTCGCCGCGTGTCTGGGCCTCCGGGAGCACCCCGGGCGGGAGGGCGGCCGCAGGGTGAGGGAGAGCGAGGCGGGGCCGGAGCCCCCGGGCTGCGGAGGCCACTTGGGCCGGCGCGCGGCGGCCCCGCCCCCGGAAGCCCCGCCTCCGCCCGCGGCCTAGCCGGCGGCCCGAGCCCCGCGAGCTCGGCTCCCTGAAGCGCTCCATTTTCTGGCTCCGCGGTGCGAGCTTCTCTCCTGTGCCCCGACCCGGAGTCACGCTTAGGTACGTCAGGGGGACAGGTCGTGCAGGGCCTGGGACGGCTGCCACTCTTGCGCGGGGAGGAGGCGTGGGCTGCCCGTGCCTCCGCGCCCGGCACTGCGCGGCTACCGGCGCCGACTCTGGCCACGCACTTCCCGGCTGGTGGGCGACCTCCGGCTGGCGTGGTGCGAGGCCCCAGGGCCGCTAGGCTTTCGCGCCTCTCAGGGCAGAATGGTGCCCGGGCCCACCTGGGCAACCTGCCCCGCCGCCGCGCGCTACCCGCCGTGCTCCGCCCGGGGAAGAGTGTGTACCCCTAGCGGTGCTGGTCCTTGCTCTGGCGAGGGCAGTCCTTTTCATCCACAGAAAACCCTTGTGTTGGAAGAATGAATCTGACGTTGGCCCTTTCTCACCCAGTAGCGTGTTGTCAGTGAGGAACCCAGGCAGCTGTCACCCCAGGAACGCGCGCAGCCCCTCAGGACTCTGCATCCCTCTCGCGGGGTGTGAGCACCCTCTGAAGCCCACGCCGGGCTTTGGGGTCAGCAGAGCGATGGGGGAAGACGTCAGCTAGCAGGAGTTAAATTAGGATGCGCAGGTGTGTGGGACCAAGGCAGGCCCCCTGGCGAGATCCTGGTTCAGGCCGTCGGTGGCGTTCGATCCGGTTTCTCCTGTGGGGAATTGCGTGCAGTTTGGACGGCGAAAGGCGGATTTACGCAAGTTGGCGAGCCAGGGAGAGCTTTCTAAGATATCACGAACAGAACCAAAGCTCTGCGCCCTTCTCTGCTAGTGGAACCTCCCCGCGTCTGGGTTCCTTCCTCCCCTACAGCCGCAGATCCCGCATAACTGAGATCCAGGAGCTGCCACAATGCCACAGCCACACCTTGAATTCTAATTCATTCTCTAGAGGGTCTCCCTGTCTTATTACTTGGTTTTCTAATAGTCCATCAAAGCAGCATCAGCGACAGTGACCTTAAAACAATGAAAATTCTTTTGCTTCTCTGCCACAGCCTCCAGTGGTGCTCCTCAACCCTTCCCTGACCGCCTCGGGCTGCTGCTTTCACTTCACTTTGGCTTTGCTAGTTTTCCTCCTCCTCATTCACAGCAAATCACACTCCAGCGCACTTCCTCAACCCTGGCTACTTTAGCTCTACAAACAACTGTGGCCTCTGCCTGGCATGCACTTCCCCACATTTTTATGTGATCTGACCCCTTGCTTCAAAGGTCTTGCTTGAACATCCCCTTATCAAGTTCTTAGGTGAAGCAACCTTCCCCAAGCCACTTCATTAACTTCTTCTCAGTACATCTCTTGGTATGCATTTTGTGTTGTCTTGAATTAGCACTAGAAATGTTAGGGACAAGGATGATGTTAATACAGCTAGACATACTGAAGGAGAAAGATTGGGATGATGTGGCAATGAAGATCAAGGAAAGGGGACTGAGGGTGAAAGGGGAAAAGAGGCAGAGGCAAATGACAGGAGAAATTGAAATTTGGCTTTTCTCAACCTTCTCTTTGACAAACTTCACGACAGAACTCAAAACTCAGTAGTGGTAGGAAGGGGTAGGTGGCAGGGTAGCCTTAGTGCATATTCCCTGATACAGGTTTTCTTCCTGTCATGCTGTGTGATTTTTGACTTAAACCTTATTTCAGCTCATTCCACCAAGAAATCCAGAACACTGAGAGAAGATAGGTGGGGAGTGTTCTCTTGCTACCCTGCTGCATAGCTTCCAGTCCCTAACCTCAGTACCTGGGGCTCTGTCATCAGAAACACCCAACATAGGGCCTGCCATTTAACTGGTGCAGTGGTTTGGAGAGCTCTGAATGTCATCTCTCATGCTTAGAATGAATTTGACGCAAAGCTAAACTAAGTTTGCCCCATTTCACTGAAACTTTGTCAGGTAGTTTCCTGGAAAGGCTGTGAATGTTTATGGTGTCAATACGAGTGCAAGTCATTTTGGGAAAACATTGACCCCAGAGCCCTCCCCTCAGCAGAAAGCAGGCCAAAGCAGGTGTACTTAGTTCATCCTTGGGGGTGGGAAGAAAATCAAAGAGCCAAAGGATATGTTGAGAATAAAAGGCAATCCTGAATGAAGGCCAGCAAAGACTAGCTGCAGGGTTTCAGGACTCTGCTCAGCTCTCAGGGTCAGGGGTAGAGCACAGGAATGGCTCAGGCACTCTCTTCCTGCAGGGCCCACCATGTTGCACAGGCTGGGCTGGCTGCTGTTCTACAGTCTCATGGTACTGCTGCTCAGCTGTCTGCTCTTTCTGAAGGAGGTCCCCCTGGCAGGGGACCTCAAGACCCACCAATCCTTCTGGGAACCCTCTGGGGCTCACCACAGCCAGTGCCTACCCAATCGCACAGTGGCTAACACTTCCCTATCCCTGCCTGGTCGTCACCGCCTCTTCTTGACTTATCGCCACTGCCGAAATTTCTCTATCCTGCTGGAACCTTCAGGCTGTGCCAAGGACACCTTCCTGCTCTTGGCCATCAAATCTCAACCTGGTCACGTGGAGCAACGTGCAGCTATCCGCAGCACTTGGGGCCGAGCAGGGAGCTGGGTTAGGGACAGGCAGCTGAAGCTGGTGTTCCTACTCGGAGTGGCAGGGCCCACCCCCCCAGCTCAGCTGCTGGCCTATGAGAGTGGAGAGTTTGATGATATCCTACAGTGGGACTTTGTGGAGGATTTCTTCAACCTAACCCTTAAGGAGCTGCACTTACAGCGCTGGGTGGCAAGTGCTTGTCCTCATGCCCACTTCATGCTTAAGGGAGATGATGATGTCTTTGTCCATGTCCCCAATGTGCTAGAGTTCCTGGATGGCTGGGACCCAGCCCAGGACCTCCTGGTGGGAGATGTCATCCACCAGGCCCTGCCCAATAGGAACACCAGAGTCAAATACTTCATCCCACCCTCCATGTATAAGGCACGCCACTACCCACCCTATGCTGGGGGTAGAGGCTATGTCATGTCCAGAGCCACAATAAGGCACCTCCAAGCAGCCATGGAGGGGACTGAGCTCTTTCCTATTGATGTCGTCTTTGTGGGCATGTGCCTGAAGAAGCTGGGGGTAC